GCTGAAGTTGAAAAGGGTAAATATATCTTTTTGCCAAAATAAAAATTTAAGATTTGTTTTGTTTTTTGGATGATAAAAATTTGAAAAATTAAAAAATAATTAAAATGATACAAAGATTTGCCTTTTTGATGAAAATAAATTTAAGATTATAAATGAAATAAATCTAAAATTTTTTTAGTTTAGAAGACCGGCTTGCGAGGCAAGATACCCGACGCGTGCTCTTACACCTTACCCACCTTCCGAGTCTCGACGGCACGCCAGCGCCTTACGGTAAAAACCAACATTTAACCCCTTACCTTATAAAATTGGTAACTTTTAGCCCTTCACCTTATAATATAACATTTTTAACCCTTTACCTTATAAATTTGGTAGATTTTAGCTCCTCACCTTATATTATGACATTTTTAGTCTCTCACCTATATGAATTGAAGAAAATAACTCCTACCTAATATTAGGTTATAACATTCTGTTGGTTCTGTTAGCTGACTGTTAATATCCGTTAGCATTTTGTTATAGAAAACATGAATTTAAATTTAATTTTATTTGTTAGTTTCATTAACGGAATATTAACAGATGCTAATAGTCAACTAACAGAACTAACAGTTAGCTAATAGAACTGACAATCAACTAACATAACTAATAATTAGTTAACAGAACTAACAGTCAACTAATAAAACATTATAACCTAATGTTAAATGAGAGTTATTTTCTTCAATTCGTATAGATAAGAGGCCAAAAGTGTCATAATATAAGGTGAGGAGCTAAAACCTATTAATTTTATAAAATAAAGGGCTAAAACCTACCAATTTTATAAAGTAAAGGTTAAAAATTTCATATTATAAAGTTAGGAACTAAAACCTTCTAATTTTATAAAGCGAAAAACTAAAAGTTGATTTTAGTCGCGCAAATTGGAAATTCACTTTAAGTCTCCATGAAAACATTTAAAAATAAAAATAAAAATTGGGACCTTTTTGTTTTTGAAATGTTAATATCTTCGCTTTCAATTATAATTTTGGTAAAGATTATATTATATTTTATTTATTATATAATTTTAATTAGATGTTGTGATATTTTTAATATTACAAAGTTATAATTAGTAGCATCTTCAACCTCTTTTGAAATATATTATTTTCAATACTTTTTTATTTATTAACCCTATAAATCACAATATTTTGCAAAGTAATGAAGTGGCTTTAACTCATTTAAACATATATTCTCCTTTAATTTTGCGATGCACTTATAAATGGAAAAAAAATGTTGTTTAATTCATACAATAATAAATTATAAAGCAAGATTTTTTTATTTAATAATCTTTATTTTTTAACAAAAATTTGAGCAAATTAGTTTCTATTAATTTAAATTTTTTAATTTATGTTTCACGGTCAAAAATTTAAATTTTTATGATAAAAAAGTTAATAGTCTATTTTGCACCCATTGAATTTGGACTGCAGAAGTGGAGGAATTTATAAATGGCTCCCATACTCCTCTGCTTTCTCCTGTCTAACTTCCTTTGCTCCTTCTCTCAATTTCTAAATGTGCATTGACAAAACCCATCTTGAATTCCCCTTCTTCTAAGATGATTTTGGACAAGGTGACTTACAGAAAGCTTATCATATTGCTGCTCCATTTTCTTGATGAAGAGAACTACAAAGAAAGCCTCCATTCGTACGGTTCATGCTTTTCTGATTTTTTTTTTTTCTACAGCTTTTTGGTTCTGAGGAATTCATTTTTTTTTTTTTTGCTTTTGGGGTCATGTAGTATATGTATTAGATGGGGGTTTGCATTCTGGGTTTGCTAGAGAGAGAAAAATTGGTCCGAAATGTCTCGGAAAGCATCTTACTTTCAGTCTTATTAAGTTGAAGATGAATTCTGTGAGGAATTTAGGCCTAAAATGGGTGAACTGAAATTTGTTGAAATTGTTCAAGAATACGGTTTTTTTGTGCATGAATTAGTTCTTTGATTCTTTCACATTGTTGTTTTTTATTTTTTTTTTTATTTTTATCAATTTATGTGGTCATGAAGGTTGGAACGAGAGTCGAAAATTTTCTTCAACATGAAGTACTTCGGGGAACTTGTGATGAATGGTGAATGGGAAAAGGCAGAGAAGTATCTGTCAGGATTCACAAAACCAGAGGAGAATAATTGCTCAAGGGAATTGTTCTTGCAGTTGCGAAAACAAAAATTTGTTGAAGAAGCTCTCAGGTATGTGTTTCCTGATTGACAGAATTGTTATTTCCATCTTGGTTCAACTTTTCAAAAAGGGTCTTGTTTTATCTTACCCTTTGGTTGGTTGATAGCCATTGTGGTGTAAATACTCTTGTTAGGGATGTTAATGCGTTCCAAGAGGTCCAGGATCAATCAGCTCAGCTCTCTCCTTTAGATGATACTAGGCAAGATTTAGAGTTTCTTGGAAAGTTATGATATTTTGACATGGTATCTTTTGTCATATTTTAGTGGAGAATATACATGCAGGGTCAATGGTGAAACGTGTGGGGTTGTAAACACTGCTCCTGCAAGGGCTAAATTGCTAGAAAACCTGAAAACATTAGTGGAGCAAGATCCTGAGCTCCTAGAAAAACTTGGGATTCCAAGTCTTTGTAAATCAGCATTTTGGAAGCTTATCAAACTTATTTGTCCAACTCCCCAAAGGAAATTGAGAAAACTAAAGGTAAATACAGTATCCGTGCTGTGTTTTCAATAAGCTCCATTCTTATGTTTTCCATGTTTGATATGCAAATTTCTAACTGCAGGAAGAACTTGGTTTCTTGATAATTCAGTTCCTTGATGAGGAGAAGTTCCATGAGACAGCTCACGAGTATGTTGTCTTAACTGATTTTTTTTTTTAAATCTGACTTTTTCAAGTACTTAACTATTTTGATACTTGCTTCTTTTGGTGAAGATTGGAGCAGGAATCAAGGGTCTTCTTCAATATGGATTACTTTTGGAAGCTTTTGATTAGTGGTGAATGGGATAAGGTAGAAAAGTACCTTTCAGCGTTCAACCTGGGAGATGATGAGTGCTTGGCCAGGATTTTCTCTGTAATGAAATGCCAAACACGATTTGAAGCTTTAGACAGGTATTATATCATTTTAATTTTTCTTTCCTGCTGTTTTTCCTTCATGTCTTCAGTTTTTGTTTCCCTAACTGCTCTTCTTATTAATGGCTTCTTGTGATTGCCTTTATGACTTAGAAGCAATTGCATGCCTTAAGTAGAATTTATCAGCTACAAACACACACACGCGCATAAATGCAGGGGCACTCTTCTGTTTTCTTCTGTTTTTCAAAGTTTTAGCCAAAAAAAGTGAGGATGTATGTTTCAGAAATGACCATGTGGAAGCAGGAAATTTTCTTTAGAAGATTTTGAAGTTCTGATGAAGCTTCAAGTTTGGGATTCTAAGCAAATTAGTTAATGCTATTTTATTTGCAGAACTTTAGTCACCAAAAAACAAAAAAAAAAATTGATGAATTCTTCCAATTAATGAAATGTACATATTCATAAATTATAATTTCCAAACGAGCACTTCTTTGAAGGAAACATAAACTTTCAAGTCTGTCAATATCATATTTGCAGGGCCAATTTATTCCAATCTGTCAAAATGGTATTGGAGAAAAATCCTTTCCTGCGAAATAAGCTCAAGTTTCCAGACGTGCATAAAGCAAGACTCATGACAATAATTAAACAGACGTAAGTCAACCCATAAATTTCATCTGTTGGTATGTTGCAAGCATCTGATGTAGTTTGTTACACTTTTAGTTCTTTGTATTCTGTAGCATGGACTGGTGGGTTCCGTATTGTGCCAATGCAAATTGGAATATTTCATTTGAAAATATTCCCACGGTGCCAAAGCTTTGTCACATTCAACTCCCGGTTACTAGTGCAGAGCATGATGGAGTGTTACCAGAACCAAGTGGTCTTGGGGTAAGTGAATAAAGATGCATGGACTGAGAATATTATGGATATTGTCATTTTCTTGTAAAAATACAAGTTTTATTCATCCCTATTAACTTTAGTCCAATTGTTGCTGCTGCTTTACCAACAGACTTTTTGTCCTTGCAATGAATCAACTAAGAAATATGGGTTAAGTGCTAAAAAACCTTGTAGAAGTCAGGGAGCAACATCAAAACCAATAGATCATACAGTTAGTGACTCTCTCTGCATGAAGTGATATGGAAAATACTTGATTTGTATTCAATGCATGATCTTCTGTTTCTGTTTTTATCTTTCAGTCCAGGGGCACCACCTGCTGCACTAATGTAAAGCCAACGAATGTATCTGTAGTTTGGGAGCTGGCAGAGATCAGTGAACCCACCCAATGCTGTGCATTGGTGCTCCCTGATGATTCACTGGAAGAAAAGGTATGAGCCTGATGTCTTCGAAGCATTCTGAAATTCTATAAAAGTTAGTTATTGCACCTAATTTCAAACTTTCAAATTTTTGCAAAATAAGTTGTCACTAAAAAGTCTCGCTTTCTTACTTCGATTTTGCTGGCATTATATACTATCAATCAGCATTGAAATCTTTATGATCTCAAGTAACACTATCCTTCATGCATACTGAATAAAAACTGTTTGCGGATGTAAATGCATGCTTAGCAAAACCACTTAGCTAGTAAGATTCTGAGTATGCCACAGCCACATGGTACCAATTCTCCCTAACATTTTGATTTGAAAATAAAACAAATCTTCCTCTAGTCTAAGCTTCTTCATACAAACATCTAGCTAAGGATGATAATAGGAAAATGATGGTTAGGACAAGGTCAAAAGAGGGAGAAAAGCCATGTTTGGCTCTTTTCACTCAGGTGAGTCCCATGATTTGGTATGCATGTGCTCCTTTTATGCATCATGTTGTTTCTTCCTTTTCGGCTTTTTAGCACACTCATGGTCTCATGTTGACATCTAGCAAGGTTCTTTATAGCATCTTTCCCTCTCAATGGACAACAATAGAAGGGTTCTGAATCTTATGATATCTATTATTAGGGTTCTTAAGTAGTTCAGTTCATAATGCTTTTGCATGAGATATTGGTTAATCATTTATTTGCTCTGCACTTAGCATGCTCATTTGCAGTTTTGTCTTGTTTTATTCCTTTACTTATTTGTCAAACCCTGACCCAATATTTTGGATTATAAAAGAATGTTAGGTTGGTCTATTCCTATTCCGGGGATTTCATTTTGGCATGGGCAGAAGATGCTACATACAAACTCTGGATATGGCGGAGTGGTCATATCTTGTATAGGAAGGTCTCTCTGGCTATTTTACAGCATGCTTTGCTTTCCCAACACCTATTACTGATGTTCATAAGTCATACATCTTGATGCTCTCTTTCTGCAGGTAAGTGCAAATTTGCAGTCACAGTTATATCATCCTTCTAGTGGAATGACAATGATCAATGAGATAGGAAGACTTCCCCAAGATCCATACTTTGCACTTGAAAGCCTTGGCCTTTTTTCAGCATTTGGTGGAAGAATCTCTACATTCTGTTGGGATATGTTTGAGGTGAATTATATATTACAGAAATTTGTGTTGTAATTGTTTGGGTAGTTGTCATTTTTCTAGTGGTACTTTGTTCATACTATCATTGACCTTTGGTTTTTATGCAGAAATTGGCAACATTTGCAGATCCCTCACCATCTAGTACATATTTTACTTTCCTTGATCAGAATACCTCTGCCATTGGCTTCAATGATTCTTCTATCTTAATTCATTGTCTCAGCTCAAAAAAGGTCTGTATTGTAAGCAGAGGTTAAAATGTTTGTGTATTAACAATAATCTGTCAATTTGTTTATTATTGTCTATCATGCTTTCATAGAATAAGGTGAAGCTCCAAGGCCACGAGGGGGAAATAACGTGCCTGGTCTTTTCTCACAAATTAAATGTTCTTGTCTCGTCAGGAGCTGATGCCCAGGTAAGTTCCATAGCATTTCCTTTGTTATCAAATTTAAGGAACAGTAGATGTACAACTAAGATTTCCTATTTCAGCAAGTACAAAGAACCATATATTTTGATGTTCTCAAATTAAATTTGTTGAAATTTTTCTGGGTTTTGTTTGTGTATTTTTCATCTACAGCCATCCAAAAATTGCTTATTACTTGTGGTTTTTATTTATGTTTGATAGAGTTGTCATTGATTAACTAGCACTGGCTCATTACCTAGCTCCACTGCCTTACCCCCTTCCTTTTCCCAGCGCTCTTTAAGATGATTCAATCTCACTTACTAAATCCTAGTGCATGATTCTATTTGCTTAAGTTTGTTGCAACGGTTAAACTGTAGTGCATGTGCATGACATGGAGTGCCATATTGTTTTTCAGCTTTGTGTTTGGACTGCAAATGGATGGCAGAAGCTGGTGAGTAAGTTTCTACAGCGTCTTGACGCTAGAGAGGCGCCAGAACCATCTGTGGTAAATCACATGGAGTTTCATCTTGACCATATCCAGCTGCTTCTTGTCCAGGAAAGGCAGATTGGCATATATGAAGCACCCTTACTGCATCCCCTTAAGCAGGTGCTTTCAACAGCCCTGGTTATAAATTTGTATCGTAACAATGAATTCTTCTGATGAAAGTTGGTTTTATTGCAGTGGGTCCCTATAGAATCAGATATCCCAATCACATTTGCTACGTATTCCTGCAATTGTCAGACAATATATGTTAGCTGCAAAACTGGCTGCATTAAGGTTCTTGTCTCCAAGACACTTACCATTAGATGCCGGATTAATGTGACTGCTTATGCACAATGTGCCGCCTGGTAAAGACTTAAAAATATATACAGTTCATCTTTCTCCATCTCTCTCTGCTTCTGATGAAATTTTCCTTTTGCAGTGTGCAAGTCTATCCTCTTTCCATTGCAGCTCATCCCTCTAGACCTAATCAAATAGCCGTGAGGCTTAGTAATGGCAGTGTCCATGTTCTTGAGCCGCTAGAATATGGAGAATGGGGAGTACAGCCACCTACACTGGAAGATGGCATGTACTAAAGCACTAGTAAGGGTGTATATAATTAGCTCCCTTGGGCTAGCAGACAACTGCAGTTTTTTGTCGCTTTTGACTGCTTGTAGATAGATACCAATCAACCTGATACCCTGCAATGGTGGCTAGCTCTTTTGAGTTAACAATCACAAACAGTTTCCTCAATGGTGATTAGCACTGAGATGACAATCCAGTAAACGTGTTTTATTTTTGAGTGAAAGGGAAGCTTCAAAATCTACTTTCAGAAGATGTATGCAGATCGTTTAAGCGATAGAAATGCTACTATTTTGAATGAAAATGAAAGAAAATGAGAAGCATTTTCTGAGCTAGAGAATTTCTTAGTCATTGAGTTATTATGTGCGATGTTTCTGTCTTTTATCTGTAGTCAGTTACAAGACATTTTACGAGCAGGAAATGATCATCTTGCTTCATCCTCTCTGCTGTTTTCATTGATTTGTTGATACATATTACAAGAGCCATTCTCATTGACAAAATTCAGTTCACCACCTAATTTCCTGAACATACAGATTCCGAGTCTCCGATGTCTTCTTCAATAACTGCACTAGTCTCTTCTCTGGTCACACTCATGGTTGATGCTGATGAACCAACAGTTTCTGGTACAGCCTTCTGAAGAACAATTGCCTTTCTTTTGATTCTGCTTTGTTGCCATTTTCTTATCAACTCTGAAACACCTTCATTCCTCTCCTCTCTAGCCCCAATCTGTGGTCCTCTGGATTCATCTACTACCACTGCATCCCTTACTTCATCATCAAAATTTGTTGCTGTCATGGGAAACAAGACTGATCTGAAGCAAGACATGAGAATTACCAGGAAGATTATGTAAACATACAGAGATGTCCACACGTATAATGTCCACCTCCAATTATGCACCAATCTTTTCGTCCAAGGCAACTCTGATTTAATAAGAATTTCAGCTTCATACAATTGAGGGAGAGATGAAGTCCCGGCCCTCGGAACCAAAGAAACTCTAACGGCTTTAGTTCTTGGATTTCCCTCCTTGATGTTCAACATGTCAACAGAAATCTTCTGCGTTTCGCTGGTAAGTCCCAGGAGAAGGGGTGCACCTAAAACAAATGTTCGGCCAAGCCGAATCGGTAAGCTTCTGAATTGCAACATACATGGATGGCTAGACCTAACTATCACCTTCCCAATGCTTGATACGAGTTCTGCATTCAACTGATAAAACTAATCTGTGAGAAAAACCATGTCTATGGCATACCAGTGTACAATTACAAATGTACAAGTAATGTGACACATTGAAGGATGGAAATGACAGATAATGAAAATTAGGTGTTAAAATTGCACATACTTGAAATCTCATTCGAGAATTAATTGTTTTCATTTTTACAGTTCAGTCCATTTTACCTGAAACACACCAATACGGCGATTGAAATCAGATTCAGGCATGAGAAGGACCAGAGAAACATGAAATGTGTGCCCCACGGGAACACCCATCTGCGCCTTCCCCTGGCCGCGGCTGCCGGGGCCAAAGCAGAACTCAGCCGTGGGATTCACAAGGGTGTAATCAAAGTACAGCGTCTCCCTCACATGCACAGGCTCCTCTAAGCACAACTGCACCAACCCAATTCCCACCAGAGCAGCCAGAACCATCACTGCTACCAAAACCATATACACGTGCATCGCACCCAGAAACCCCCAAAAGATTTTTTTCAACAAGACAATGGTGCCATGGCCAATGTTTGAGGGGACATTCTGGACGGCAGCCTTGGCGCTGGCCTTTGCCTCCTCCGCACGGTGGTAGGACTCTGAGGCTACGGAGAAGAGAGAGAAAACAAAGGAGAAAACAGAGACAATGCAGTTGTGAAAGACATCGGATTGAAAGGAGAGGAATTTTAAGAACCAGTCTGATGGTCTTGGCAAAAGATGGAAATTTTGGTCTTGGGGTTGGACATCCATTCGTGGCGGCTGAAGGAGAAGAGAAAGAAATGAAGGATCGGGGGATGATGATGGTTTTTAGGGTTTATGGTGAAACGGAGGAGATACATTGAGAGAGAGAAAACAGGGGAAGGCTACAGATGGTGTGCGTGCATGAGAGGAGAGGGTGAAACGTGGTTGAAAGGCAGTCGTGTGGTAATGACACCTGACTCTCCGACATGATAATTTGTATGTGCGAAAAACTTACGTTAAGCTTCAGATGATGAGTGCTGCCCCCTCTAACTAATAATTATTGTTTTGTAGATGGAAAATAATTGATATATTTTTTGATTTTATACATTTATCAATATTTATTAATATAATTATTAAAATATATAATTTTAAGTTTTTTTATCTTTAATTTAAATTTAAAGTAATAATTTTTATAAATATATTATAAAATGAGTTGAATTAAGAATATATTTGAGTTAAGCAAAATGAAAAAGAGATAAGGAAAAGGTTTTTTGACAAATTAAATTATAATATTTTTAAAACATAATAATTTGAATAGTTAAAAAACTTATTCTTTCTTTTTATTCCTCTTTAACTCAAATATATTATGAAAGATATACTAATCATTATACTTTGTAGTATGGTATAGTCCTAAAAACAAAACATTAAATTCTTTTTTTAAATTATCATAATTTAAAATTATTCCTCCCCTTAACATAAACCAAAATAATAATAATAATAATAATAATAATAATAATAATAATAATCTTCTCATGGCTAGAGGCTTGGGAATATTTAGATTAATTATTCAAATATAGTTAGTAGTTGATAAAAAATATATGACAGTTAATAATTGTTTGTTTACAATTTAAAATATTTAATTCAATATCCCTTTAAGCATTACTTTCACAATACTCCTGCATATCTTTATATTTTATCATCAGTAAACCATAACTGTTACACCAGTTTCACATAAAATTGATATCCAACATATCTACTAATATTTAGATTAACTAATAATTTTATTATAGTTAATCAAACAAAAATAGTTAAAAATAAAACTAAAGCA